TTTTTATATTCAAGGTAGAGTTTATTTATTAAACTTGGAAGCTAAAGGTTTCCTTGAGTTACTAATTCCATTTTTTGTATAAATGCAACTGGCATGGATAAACTCAAACTGTTAGTTATCGGAAAATCTACAAAACTACATTGTTTCAAAGGCATTCGACAAGAAAACCTTGGTGTCAAATATGCTGCTAGTAAGAATACATGGATAACAGAAAGCATTTTTGAATGTTGGATAAATTCGTTAAATGCTACATGCAGATTAAAAAAAATATATATAATCTTATTAGTCGATGGTGCCAAATGCCATTCAAACTGTGAACTTACTAATATCAACCTTCGTTTTTTACCACCCAATACAACACCTTATTTACAACCATATGATGCTGGATTAATACACTCATTTAAAGCTTATTATCGTAAATTGTATCTTTTAAATATTATCGATGCTATTAATAGTAATAAAGAAATAAGTCACATTAACCTTTTGCAAGCAATCAGGTAATAAATTTTTTTTAAAAAAATAAATGTCGTGGCTTAAGCTAGAAATTAGAGATTAAAATTTTTAGCTTCAGCCGTGACAATAAATAAATAAGACTAAATAAAAAAATAATAATGATTAAATTTATCAAACTTATAATAAACTACCAATTATTAATTAAAAAATTCATACCATTCATATTTCCATAATCAGGTTCATTACAGAAGCATGGGATAATGTAACTTCTCAAACAATCGTTAATTGCTGGAGGAAAACTAAAATAGTGCCGTCAAATGAGTGGAATCACTTAAGTTGAAATATATCAAATGAAGAAGAATTTGAAGTCAAGGCTAAAACTGAAACCAAAGTAGAAGTAGAAGTTGAAGTTGAAGTTGAAGACCTTATTTCTGAAATCCTATCCAATTATATACATGTAATGTCTGCTAATGATTTTATTCGAATTGATAAAACTCTTAAAATCGAAGAGGTTGTTTTAGATGAAGCTGCTATTATTGAAGAGGTCCTCCATCAATCAGATTCTGGTAGTAGTGATGGAGAAAGTGAAGTTGAAATTGAAAAAATTTCTCATACAGTTGTCTTGGAACAATGTAGTTCGCTAATACAATATGTAGAACAACAAAAACTGGGAAAATTTGTAAAAGATCAAGATTTACCACAATTGCGAAGCTTGTTAAGACGAATTCGTCTACACGTATTCCAATCAAAAGAGCAAAAAAAGGTATCTGATTTTTTTTAATTTTAATTAGATTATATGAAAAAGGTAAATTATATTTGAGAACAATAGTAGCAAAAGCCGTATACTTGCTTTTTTTTTTACTTTCAATATGATAGTTTTATTTTTTTTTTTCTTGTGTTTTCGGTAGATTTTTTTCTGTTCTGCTATCTTTTTACATTATCTTCATTATCTATAAATTACGAACTGTGTAAGAATATGTATTATAAATAAAGATATAGCAAACAATGCTTATTATATTTATCAACTTATGGGTTGTGCAGTATTATCATTATTGCTTGATCTTATGGTGTTTGCATTACCAAAAAATGGAATTAGTAACTCAAGGAAACCTTTAGCTTCCAAGTTTAATAAATAAACTCTACCTTGAATATAAAAA